TAATGACAGAGTGTGTTCCTCTGGCTCACTATCTCCTTTTATACTTTAGAACGTTCTCCTTTTGTGAAAGTACATGAGCTCCTAGCATACTCTCTGGAACATTTTGGATAAGAAGTAAATATTTTTTAAGAATATCTAAATAAATTATAGAACTGCCCAACTCTGAAGTTCTTATTTATTCTTAGGTTAATTTTGTAATATTTTATGCAACTGATATTCACTTTATTCAGTTTTTATGCATTTTTTTCCTGACCCTTGTATGAATAAGCTGTTATGGAACAAACAATAATGATTTTGAAATAGTTGTTCATATCCAATTGCAGTCCATTAATATAGAAATTTTTTCACAAAATAAAGAAATAGACTACAATAGGAGTCATGAGTCATGCAAGTAATCTGAGGGTTCAGGAAAATGAAGAATTTTATTGGAATGGAAATCAAAAAGTTTTCACGGAACAGTAACATTTGAGATGTCTTAAAGAGTTGCTAGGATTCACCATGAGAAACACAAATGAAGTCATTCTAAATGAGGAGACTGTAAGTGACGTGAGGAAGGGATAAGCAAAGGAATTCAATAATAAACTTGGCTTAGCTAGACTGAAAAGCATGGAGGTGAAACAATATAAAGCTGCAAAGAATGTGGAACAGGTATGGTTGGGTATTGGTCATCGGAAAGAAAGAACACGGGTGTTTTTCCATAGAGGGATGCAAAACGTTGATCAAACTGTTATGGCTTGTGTTTAGATGCCCCCCCCGAGCTTCATGCAATCACAGGTGGTACTTTTCAACAGTGGCTGGACCTAGAGTGTGCAATGCTGGGACTGATTCATGATGCAATGCTAGGATGGAGGGCACTAGGATTAAGGGTGTGAATGCTACCTGCCCTAAGTAGCCTGGGTACCATATAAGTGATAAAGAGCTGTGGTTGTCTCTTACTTGCTTGTCCTGTCTTCTGCCTTCAATGAACTGTTTCTCCTCCGCAATGCCCCTCTGCTGTGTGCCCTTCTGCCTTGGAGCCTGCCAACTATAGACTGAAACTTCTATGTACTGTGAGCCAAATAAACTTTTCCTTCTCTAACTTTGGGTGTTAGGTATCTTGTCTCAGCAATGAGAAAAGTAACTCAGACACAAACTGAGATTGCTGTGATCCAAAATTTTTTATGGAAAGATTATATGAAAGCACTTGAAAATTGATCAAATGTTGGAAGCAAGAGAAATTAGATATTATTCTAATATTTGAGCCTCTGTTATGAAAAAAGGCATAGGTTCCCAGATATTGGGGAAGCAGAAGATAATTTAGGAACTCAGACAACAGCAATTTTAGATGTATTATATTTAGAGTAAATTTCAGGTAAAAATGTCTAGCAGACAAGAAAATCTAAAACTGGAGTTTGAAAAGAAAGTGATAAAATGAAGAACTTACAGAAATGATTGTAAAATAACATTATATAATTATTTTCTCTGATATGAAAGATTTGGATACATTGAAAACTTACATTGAAAACTAGTTTGAATCATTTTTATGCATCAGTGCAAAACTGTAGATTTAAAAATAAAAAATGTTGAACAAGTCTTGGTTTAGTAACATCATTTTTTGTTAACTTCCAAACATAAAATGAGTTATATGATATCTTTTTATATTTTGTGGGACTTTAATAAAATCATTAATGACCTGTGCAAGTTAAAAATCCAATGCTTTATTGAACAAATAATTGAAAAGATAAGATGATATTTTCTCTACTGTATCAAAGTACACATTTCCATAGATCTGTTATTTCCATCAAATTCTAGTACTTTTTGTTTCTTCTAGCCTTAAACTTAGGTGATACACATATTGATATTTATATTAAATCTCACATGAGCCAAAGTCCGTTTTCTACATCTTAGAAACTAAAGTACGATGCAGCAATATTTTAATGATTATGTTTAAGTTAAACTTTTAAATACTTTAAAATTATAAACATAGAAAGGTTTATGATAAAATAAAAATGTGTATGAAACAATTAGTTCTCTATCTCCAATTGTGCTTCCCAGGAGTTAATATTCCAAACAGTTTATTATGTATTCTCTTCAACATTTTAATACCTAAAGAGAAATACTAATAAAGATCAATCTTATTTTTTCCTTGACATTTCACTTTATTTTTTATTTTGTTTTACTTCAGCTTTTTATTTTAAAGTGAGTTTCACTACACATATTTTTCTGTAATTTGTTTAACTGAAACATTATCATAGGCATATTTATTAATGCTCTAGGAAAACAATAAAGATGGCAACACTTCTATTATTTGTTCTCTTGGAGAAGTTTTCTAAAACTATGAAAACTAAGTGAGAAACTATAAAAGAATTAACATACTGTACTTCAGGCAGCATCAGTGAATTTTAATATTATTTCCACAAAGACACTAAAATGTACTTCTAAGATTTTCATTCATTTCTTAATAACACATATGCTAAAGCGATTTTGTATGTTAGTCTGTGAAAGCCCTCTTTAAAGGGGCTATACGCTTAGGTAAAAATTGTGTTAAAGTCTGTCTTCTTAATCCTAGCTACTTTGCAGATGTATCAGTGACTTATAAAAGTGTCAGAGAAACAATACTGTGTTTTATACATTCAAAACCAGAGGACCCTCTGAAGCTACACTGACACGTTCATCCATCCCTTAGAAGAGTAGGGTTCATAGTCTCCTGGAGAATCATGGGAGTGTTAAACAGCACATGTAATTACCTCTTTAAATATCTGTACTGAAAGAATAGAATACAGATGTGACTATTTGGCAAAAATGTGTATTTTCTTTTAGAATGCATTATAAGATTAAATCAAGCCAGATGCACACCAAGCGCAGAAGAATGAGGCTTTTTTGCATCCTCTTCTGATATCTTCTGGGTTTACATTGTCATTTCATTACCTAAGATCTAGTTTACAGTGAAGGAACCATGGAGTGAAATTTAGATGATCATATTGGTGGCTCAGAACCCTGCTGACATTCTTGCTTTCTGCAAGCTGCAACTGTTATTACTGTCTCTGGCGAGCGTCATGTAGTCTGCAGTAAAAAGGATGAGTGGCTTTTACAGATGACAGTATGTTATTTGAAAATTTTCTAATGACCAAGTGGGTTGCTCTCAGAATTATTAAAGCTGAAATTTAAATGAAATAAATACAGAATCATGATTGTTCATGTTGTCATATAATTTAATTAGTATAAATAATGTTCAAACAATATAAAATATTTCAGTTTATTTTAATATTGCATACTAATGTTAGGAAAAATAATACTAGTAATAATAGTAGTGTGGAAATCCTGTGCTTCAGTAATTCCCATTCCTCAATATAGAACATATGGTGATTTTTTTTTTTTTTTTTTTTTTGGTTTTTCTCCGGTACCGGGAACCAAACTCACGACCTTGTGCTTGCCAGGCAGGTGCTTTGCCGCTGAGCTAAATCCCCAGCCCCGAGCAGGTGATTAATGCTTACCTTTTTAGTTAATCCCTGCACTGATTTTTTAGCCTTCCCTTCCTCTTTGGTGAGTTCACCTACTTCCAAAGTCGCTTTATCACTTCATCTCCTCATGACATTCCTGCAGGAGCCACACTGATAACTGGTGAACTTTGAGGTCTCCAATTTCCTTTGCAGAACCGGGTGCACTGATGGGGCTTCTCAGAGCCATTGCCATTTTTTTCCATCTGTGCCTTCCCTCCCCACAACCTTTTCCCTACTTCATACTGTTATGGACAGGTTCTGCTAACCTTCAACAAGTACATTTTTCCTTTCTGCTCTTTTGATTTCTTATGCAATCCTCACCCTTTTTCTATACCTTTAGTGAAGTAAAGGCCTTGCTTGTAATTATGCAGTCTAGTTAGACCCAGTACAAATCTACCTTAACTTTTCTGCAAGTTATATGATTCAGGCAGGTTAATATCTTGAATCTCTGTTACTCATTTTTCTCATTTATAAAAGACAGCTCTAGAAAGTTATTGTGAGGTTTTTGGAAATAAAACAACACTGCCCTTGGCAGAGAGTACTTGATAAGTTTTGAGTAGTCACAGCCAAATGATCCATAGTCCTTAAGTTAAATATATTTTCAGAACTGAGAATTGTATGGAGTTTAAAAGGTACACATATTCCATGCATTACTTAATTTTTTTCAACATGATGTGACTCAACATTCTTTAACAAATTGGTAATTCTACAGGGCAATAATTTCGTTTGATTTTGTATGTAGCAGTATTAGCCTTTTGTCAGTCCAGGTCAGGTAATACTACCAAATGAATTATGAAAGAACTCATTATTCAAACTTTTGAGTTTGAGATTTGTGGATAAAGAGTTGGGAATCTAGAAAATAAGCAGGGATTCTTCATTTTCTCATCAGACACTAAACTGTACCCTCTTATTTTGACCCTCTGGGTATTTTCTAAATTTTTTACATATGGGACCACAGACCTCCAGTTCCAAAGCTCATTCTCCTTCACAATTATCCTCCAGATTACTATAATTAAAAGAGGGAATGAACTAGAACTACTTCAAGTAAGAGCATATTTAACTGGACTTGGAAAATTAACATGACATTGAACATTTTCCTTTGTTTCTTTCCTAGCTGTGAACTATATATTAATGTCTGGGGAGAAAAGACACAAATCTTTAGTTTTTATTCCTTTCTTTGAGAAGAAAGCTGGTTCTTCACATACTTTAACTTGGAAGATGTTTTTGCAGGATTTGTGGACAAATGTAACATCCTAGCAATTTTAGATGGCATTTTTTTTTACATAAGTATGAGTTTCTAGAAAAATATAATTATCTTATTGACTGGTTAATGTTGCTTTTTTTTTATTCTACAAATGAGGATCTTTATATATTTTAGTCTGTTCTTTCCTATTAATATTAACCTGGGGCACTTTCCAATAGTTATTGATTTGTTATGAAAATAAAACTTGTAATAGAATCATAGTCTAGTAATACATCATTATTAACCAGAATTGATTCTAGTGTGTATATTTCTTTCAGTGTCCTTCTGAAACCAAAGCAACATTTGGGGTCCATCTTAAAATAGTAGGAGACTGGACAGGTATGTAGAACAAAAAGTTTGAATGCACATGCTTTGAAAGCAATAGGATAGAGCAGTAATGTGTATGTGTTTGGGGAGTGTACCTACTGGCACGCGTGGAGACTTGTATGTGTTTCAAAGTGTTACTGTTTTCTTTGCTTATACAATTTTGACATCTAAACGTTTCTTGTAAGATGCATTTTTGGAATCAAAATACCTTGGATATTAGTGCTTATTAATAATGTATTATTCAGTGTGTTTACAAATTGCAGGTTTCTGCCTGCTTGTCAGATGTACTGGGACTGCTGAAAAGAATTTCTTTGAGAACATGATTTTAAAATTCATGAGTGGCTTGAATCTCAAAGTAATCAACATCTGAGATGAAATCACACTACTCTTCCAGTTTGGGAATGGCTTTTTGTGTATTGCATCTGTACATATAGTAACTACTGCCTACTTGGGAGAATGATCACTTTCAATAGCAGGGCTATTGGTGATACTTTACTCATCTATTCATAAAATACATTGCATTATCTGAAAGATGCACTGTCTTGAATTCTGAGTAAATAAAGTAAATATTATTCATCTGTATAATGCCTCGATCCACCACAGTGCCTGACAAGCGAGTAGTCAGTAAACACTGGATGTTTAGTTGGTTGCTTAGGTTGTTTGAAGGAACGAATGAAAGTATAAACATACACATACAAGTTAAAATAGTTTTTATAATTCAGTGCTAAACAAGAATCACCTTATAAAATCTACAGGAATTCAGAGATATGTGTCATTAGAACCACACAATTAGCTTCCCACAGAAGATAGACTCTGAGCTGCATTTTGGAAATCAGGAAAATGAAGAAAGATACAGATAACAAAATAAAATTCAGTACTGTCCAATATCAGTGACAGCAATGGATATCCATATTTGTGAAGGGTGAGACAATCCATCTATAACCAAACAAAAGCAAAGTCAGTCAAACAAACAGTCAAACAAAAGCAAAGACTGTTCTGGCGAGTAATGTAGAAAAGCCATGTAGGGTCATTGTGAAGATTATGAATTCGCTCACAAGATGTAAGAATAACCTTGATCATCTGTGGAACATATGAAAGATTTGAAGTGCTGTGACAAAAATGCTACTAATAAGTTCCTACAGTAGTTGGATAGAATCAAGGAAGACTTGCAGGTTATTGAAGGCAGATGGGGAGGAAACTGTGGAGGGGCATAGATGGAAACTGGAGGAGCACGTTTGTGAGCACAAGTTAAGAAGTTAGCATTGGAAAAATAGGATCTAATTGATTTAAAAATATAGGAAGGACAAAATGGTAGGTAATAAGAAAGTAGTATTTGGGGATGAGAAGAAAGCTAGTTGATATAAGAAAATCGTATCATATACTTAAAGAATAATAGTGTGATAAAAGTCTCTGCACTTACCTGGGTGTGATACTGCATATCTGTAATTCCAATACTGCAGAGGTGAAGGCAGAAGGATTGTTCATTCCAGACCAGCCCATGCTGCATAGCAAGACCCTTTCTCAAAATAAAATTTTTAACATTAAAAAGTGTCTGCATTTAAAAAGGTGAACATCTTGGAAAAAATAGAGAACAATTTGTAGCATGGGATTTAATGGGCAAGTAATAATGAATTTAAAAGATCTTTGAGCAGTAATAACTTAGAATCATTTAAAAAAGCAAGCTTCGAGAGACATGCTTATGTGATGCCGTTCAAAACAAACTGTGGTAGTCCATCGACAGAAAAACACAAGGTAATATGGAAAGGTTAATTCTTATAATATGCCCAGAATCAGTTGATTAACAGTTGTTTTGGCACTACTTGGGAAATAAAGAATAAGGGGAATTCTTTCTTGGTACGAATCCCAGCATAGCTAGGCATGGTGGTGCACATCTGCAATGCCAGCCCTCAGAAGGATGAGGCCAGAGGATCACTGTGAAGTCGAGGTCGTTCTGGGCTACATAGTAAGTTCAAGGCCAGCCTGAAGTACAAAATGAGACTTGATCTCAAAAAAGCAAGCAAGCAAGCAAACAAACAAACAAACAGAACCCTAATACAGTAGGAATTAGTTCCATAGTGATTGATAATTGACAGAACGCTATATTTGAAGGAAAATAGGCACGTATAATTTAATTCATAAGGGTAAGTAGCAACTAGTCATGATGGCTTATAATTAGCTATTGTTTCTAAGTTTCTTCTCAAAGTTATTTTCTATCAGCTGTAGCTCATTAAAATAAATGATTACTTCAATATTTGTTTTAACATCTCTATTAGCAATATGTAATAGTTCTAATTTTATCTTTCTTTTGAAATGTACTAGTTCATTGAGAGAGAAACAAGATCATTCTATTCAGAGAGTAAAGTTCTAGTCAGATGTTTTCAACTAATAGAATTTCTTCATTGTTGAAAGGTAATATGGAAATTCATTACTTGTTTGCTTGGGAGAAAAAGTCAAGTATTCATGCACAGAACCTCTAAATAATTGTTACATTATCTGACACGTTAATTCAAAAAGAGAGTAAGCTGTTTTGAAACAATAGGATTACACTTATTGAAGAAAAAATTACTTCTGAAATCAAGGGCCACTTGTTTTTACTCTTTGAACAGTTGATTAAAAACTCAGTGTTAAGAGCAGTGGAGCTGGGCATGGGGATAAAGACCCATGCTCCCAGCACTCAGGGAGACCGAAGCAAAAGGATCATAAGTTCGAGCTTAGTCTGACCAACTTAGCTACTTTGTGAGACCCTGTCTCAAAATAAAAAATAAAAATAAAAAAAGGCCTGGGTTTGTAGCTCAATATAAAGGCCCTGTGTTTAATCTCCAATATTCCTCCCCCTCCTAAAGGAGCAGTATGTATAGGAAATACAAAAAAGTGTAATAAGAGTTTGAATAACAGGCGCTATTTTTTTCAACTGATTTAGAGATTTTGAATAATGACTTTTCTTAATACAGTATGTTCTGGATGGGCAATATACAAGATGTAAAGAACAGGTATAAGTCTCTGTAAATAATCCTCCAGCACTAATCAAGTATACATAGCTGTGTGCTCAAAAAGCAAGTGAAAGAGCTGTATTGCACAGGCAGTATATTTAATCTAGAATTTTGCCAGTGACCCATTTAATAATTAATAGGTAGGAAATAATTATACCCCAAGATAATGTACAGGATTTCTACATGCTATATAATAGCTCATCTTCAGACTTTGGGATAAATCTTTCATATTATCTATATGCATAAGACATGGTAAATTTTGATAGATAAAAGTGATAAAACAGGATTGATCATAGGACCCTATGGGTTTACCTTGGCCGTGTAACACATTGATTACTCACAGTACAACAATGTTAGATGCCGCTTTAGGTAAAGACTGGACCAAAACAAACAAGCAAAAAAGATGGTGACAACTGTTTATTGCTGTACATATTCTAAACAAGTAGTGTTTCCCAGTTCACCCAGCTGAATTTTCATGAAAACATTAAAACAAAATATGTAGTGTGTTTTTAAATGTTTTTGTATTCTTTGAAAGTCAAATTATGGCAACACTAAATGTTATTATAATTACACCAGTGTTATTACTTTATGGTTATATTTTAGGCCAATGTATCATTAACCATATGCTAGATGTAACTGTGAACGGCTTTTTGTTGCTGCCAAGAGAGAGAGAGAGAGAGAGAGACAGACAGACAGACAGAATATTTCCACTGAATATTGAATCTATTTTGAAGGAGATAAAAAAGGAGATTTAAAATATATTAGAGCAGATTGATTTCTTTGAACAGCATATGAGTACATAAAATGTCAAGCTTTTACATAATTCACGTTCATACCATGTAAACATTAGTCTAAGACCATAATAGTATTTATTATTAACTGCTACAGCCACAAAAGTGTGATTGGAAGTGCAGTTTCTGTTGTTGCTATGGCTTGTGAATTATACAGGCTGGTCATTTGTGGAAGATAATATGTAAACTGTTTTCACTGCGGTTTGCAATCCAGTGTGTATTAAATGCCTACTATACTCTAGATTTTATTCTACTCTCTAGAGATATGGCACTGACCAAAACAGATGGAATGTCTGCTCTCATAGAAATTGTATTCTGGTCAGTGAGGACCTCCAATAGATAACAGAAATATCGATAGTGGTAAGTGCAGTGAAGAGAAACAAAGAGCGGCAAGAGCACAGGAGGGAGTCGGGTGGCAGTGCGCGTTTCGAGAAGGTGTTTGGTTACATACTTCATACAGATGTGTGGGCAGCTGAGGGGATGTGTCAGGAATATTTCAGGGGGAACAGAATTCTGGCCAAGGATACAGCAGAGGAATAGCCTTTGGGAAGGGGATAACTTTTGCGCATCAAAGAAGAGCTGAGAGGCCAGTGGGTAGAGCCGGAATGAGGAGGGTGAGGAGCGCGGGAGGCAGTGAGGCCAGAGAAGAGCTGGGTGAGGGTCGTGCGCTGAAGGCTGTACGAGGATTCAGATTTTAATCTGACTCAAATCTTGGTTTCAAAGTCTGCGTCAACGATTATCTATGTTTTCCCTAGTGTTTGGAAGATGGGGTATTAAAAACAACTGAGTTCTTTGACAAAGAGGCCAAACATGTTCACTGGAAGACAGAGAGCCTCTTTAATAAATGGTGCTTGACAAACATGCTGAAGACTAAGACTAGACGCATGTCTATCACCATGCACTGAATTAAAGTCAAAATGGATCAAAGGTTTAAATATTAAAGCAGAAATACTAATCTACTGGAGGAGAAAGTAGGTCGAATCTTTTTTTTTTTTTTTAAATCTTGAGTATATAGGAGTAGGCACAGTCTTCATGAACAAAACCCAAACTACATGGGAAACACTTCAAAGAACCAACAACTGGAATCTCATCCTATTAAAAAGCTTTTATACTTCAAAAGAAATCTCCAATAGAGTGAAAAGACAACCCACACAGTGGGAAAACATTTTAGCTAACTGTCCCTTAGACAAAGGACTTATATCTAGAAAAAGATGTAAAACACTGAAAAAAT